ATGTAAAAAAAAAATTGCCTTCTAATTTCAGGTGTATCCCCTTATGCTCAGTAGTAATGGATAATTAATAGTACAATTCTCTAAAATTTCCTTCATGATGTCCTTAATTCCAAAACTCAAAATGGTAGCTAGCCATCAGCTAAAAGTTTTATATAAACAAAATAATCATAGTACCAATTTTTAAAGCAGTACTGTTTCGGCCAGTAACTTACTAATTTCCACTATTTAATTATCTTCATATCAATTAATTCATCAAAACAGGAGGTAAAGGAGTCATAACGGTTAATGGAATTGTAAAAACAAAAATGATTACAAAGCAATTAGTAAATATTAAAATGCTTATGACGTACACTCTATAAAGCAGCATCCAGTAAAAATTAACAAAAAAAAATAAAACTACATACAAAACTTAAATTATTTAAAAAACAAACTAAAAAGTTACACTTGTATAATAAATCATAATTATAGCTATTTGACAGATGTAACATTAAATCTCACATTACAGGAATAACCAAAAATGGAAAAGACCAGGGATTTTGGTAAGTACAGCCCATTAGGTGAAAATTTTACTATAAACCATGAAATTGAGCATATGTTAAAAATAGGGAAGGTTCTGATTTTTAGGTTTTCCTTTTTATAGCTGACAAGGGTAAAGAAACTAGGTTCCCTGGGAGAGTTGCATTATTAATTGGGTGGTGAACAAATCAATTGCTACATCCATCGTGTTCTCTCCAAATCTTTTGACCCAAAGCTTCTTCTGTAACAGAAGCAGAATAATGTGTGTTCCTAATAACACACATTATTAGGAAGAAAAATGTTTATTTTCTAACTTGTAGTTATACTAAAGAATGTTGAAATGAATTGCATATGATTACTCATTGAAATTGTTTACAAAGACTTCAGAGACTGCAGTATCCAGTTTCATTCCCCTTTCTCACCCTTTTTCTTTTTTTAAATTAATGGCACTACAGTTATAAGAAATGAACATCATTGCCCATACAGTTAATACTGTTTTTATACCCTATAGATGTAGAAATATGTCATTTAAGTAATCATCTTATGTGTCAAGGGAGCAAAGGCAGGGTAATCTGCTTTGTGACACCAAATCAATTACAGCAATTGTGATGAAAGTCTGCACTGCATAAAGTCATGAAACCTAGACATTCAATTAGTACAATAGACAGAGCCAACCCAGAGACTTTCCCAAAATTTAGAAATAATAAATAAATTAAGTTCAGTATACAGTCAAGCTCACAGGAAAGAAAAAATATCCCAGGTATCAGAAACAAAAAAGAACTAAAATCCTAACTGAAATCTAGGAATACTGTTAATCCCGAGGAAATCTTGGAAGCAAGGTAGATTTGTTTACATGTCATGGTAACAGACCCTAGAGTCTAGGAGCTTAAGGATGACTATTTATGCTGGTATAAAGGACAAGTCTTTGGGTCTGCTTGAGAGGGGAAGTTAGAATAGCATGTCTGCAACAGCCAGGACCTTAATGGGCTATTCTTTCAGTGAACTTGAATGGCTCTCACTGACTCAGGGAGAAAGATAAAATAATCTCCCATAAGAAACCAAAACCTTGGGGACTTTCCTGGCGGTTCAGTGGTTAAGACTCCCGTGCTTCCAATGCAGGGAAAGCAGGTTTGGTCCCTGGTCGGGGAACTAGGATCCCACATGCCATGCATGCAGCTAAAAAACTTAAAAAAAAAAAAAAGAAAGAAACCAAAACCTCAAGTCAATACAGCACATGCGTTTGTAGGCCAAATGTATGTTACAACACAATATAAAAATGTACTAGAGAAATTTAACATAGAAACTTTGGGGAGTACTCACTGAAGAATCGTATCAAGAACTTCTAAAACACTTTTAATTGTCTTAGCTAAACATGCTATTAAAAAAGAACCTTAGAAGAATGGGAAAATCACAGTTCACTAAACAGTCTCAGTATGCTTCTGATAATGAATAATAATATTAAGATTTTAGTACTTAATATATAAGCTTACCTTAAAATATTTTTAGGCCAAGCACAATTGGTATAAAACAAAGTGTTATATGAGACTAAAGACTAGACTCCAAAGCCAATTGTGTTTTACTACTTTCCTGAATCATTTTATAATCCTCACACTCTGACATACTAAAAATATAATGAATGCTTGTTTTTTATGAGAGTAAAATTTGAAAAGAATTTTAAATAAATGATGATAGAGAATGAAAAACCATATAGGAGAAAGTAAACAGTGATTTTAAAAGGGATTTAGCCCTGTTCAATAGATGCATTTTTGGCAGAGGTAGAAAATCCAATTCAAGTTCAGACTGTCAGCTTTTCTATTTTGTACTATTTCTACTTTTTCATTCTTCTTAGAATTATGAAATGCTTTGCTATGTAAACTTATTTTAAAAGCTAAATAAGCATTTTTGAACCCCCAAATACATACTTACCTGTAAAATTTGAGAAAATGCCAATTTTGTGTAAATACTTTCTTCTTATTCTAAAATATTTTACAAAACATTGACTCAACAAACACTATCAGTATAACAAAACTGGTATTTCAATTAATGATAGTTTTTAATGTGATTGTTTGTTGCTTTCTTTTACTCCAAATTTCTAATAATACAAAACAAAAATTGAGGTAACTCCAGTAAAACCTAACCTAAAGTAAATTGCAAAAATATAAAAATGCCTGAGTGATGTTTGAGCAACAAATGAAACTCTCATTATAACAATTAGAATAACTCATATACTTAAGGGAAGAAAAGAAGGAAGGGAGGGAGGGAGGGTGAGAAGGAGGAGGAGAGAGAGAGAAAGAAAGAGAGACAGGAAGAAAAGAAAGGCATAAAACAAGGCTTCCCAAGCCTCACTGTAGATTAGAATCACATTTGAGCTTTATAAAAATTCAGGTAATAAGTGTTACTAAACAAATGACTCTGTGGAAAGGGGACCTTAGAATTTGCTCTTTTAGCCATAACGTAGGTAATTCTAATGCCTATTGAGATTTTAATGCTATTGGCCTACACATAATTCCTTCAATTTCTCATATTCTATTAACTCAATTGCAAGCTGGTTTTGATTTTCACTCATCTACTGAATCTGCTATTCAGTGATTACCACATGTCAATCCTAAGTAACATTTTCCTTTATTATATTTATAAACATTCCCATTAAGTCCTTTTTGCCTTATTTGGCATTATTTAACCCTCTTGAAATTGTTAAGGCATTGGTCTCTGTGACACTGCATTTTCTTTATTCCCCTTGAATATTTCCAATGGTTCCTTCTCTCTTATCTTTTGAACATTTTCCTTCCTTTATTTAGATGTTTGTGCTTTCCAGAAAACTATCTTCTCACTGTATTTATTCTCATCTACTTACATGATTCAGTTACACCAACATACCAACAACTCTCAACCACAGATTTCCTCTCATGGACTTCAAACACATATTTACCAATTGCTGGAACTACTTATGTAGATTTGCCTCAAACTCAAAATGTCCTGAAAGTGAACCAATGATCTTTCTTCTTAAACCAGTGTGACTTCATTTATTTTCATCCTGAACTTCATGTGTCATCCTCTTCCCAGTCATTCAAGGGAGATAATGAAAGTGTTCCTGGACTATTTGTCTCTTCATTTGTCTTACTCCCTATATATTTCTTGGGCCAATATCCTTCTTCTCATTGCTATGATTAGGTTCTGATTCAGATTTCTCCAGCTCTTACCTTCAGTATGCAATATCGTCCTATTTTTCCCTCTTTCAACTTGCACTTACTTAAATCCAACCTTTGCAGAATCACCAGAATACCCTACTAATGTACATCATTATGTCAACCCTTTGCTAGAAAACATCCAGGATAGAGCATAAGCTCCTTAATACAACATACAGACCATGTTAATTTGTGTTTAGTAATTTGGATTAATTTCCACTTTCTCTAACCTCTTCTCCTACTACTCCCTTTCTTGGGTTTTTCACTCTAATAACACAAAACTGTGGTGGCCCAAAACCTTACACCTTGACTCATTTTTTTTTCCTTTCCACATTTCATAATCAATCCATCAGCAATTCTGATCAACTCCACTATCACATTTTTACTAGAACCAGTCACCTCTCATCACTTCACCACTACTGTCACTGCCACTACCATTATAGTGCAAATCATTTATATATTTCATGGCTATTTTGAAAATAGCCGCTTAGACGAGGGGACATTATTCTTCCTGCTTCCCCTTCCCCTGGTCCCTGCTTTGTCCTCACGCTGTCTCATCTGTAACCAGTAGACAGAGAGAGTTTTTAAAATATAAATTCATGCATCTTTCTCACCCCTGCCACTCTCTAGCTGTCTTACATGCTTTAGTTTTCTTCATAGCACTTATTACCACTTGACAAATACTTGTTTGTGTATTCTTGTACTTTCCACTATAATGGAAGCTCTATGAGAACACAGACTTTTTTTTCCACTTAGAGCATTCCTGGCCCATCAAGACCCACAACTAGTATTTGTTGAACAAATGAATAAATGAATGTAGCTCAGGCATCTCTTAACTTAAGAAGTTTTTGCTGATCAACATGATGGCTTAAGTGCCCTTTTCCATTGTCTTCTTTACAGTAGAGTATACATCTCCATTTCTTTATTCCATATTGTTTCATAGGTTTGGGTAAATCTTTCCCATCAGACCAGTCTTTGAGAATGCAAAACTGTCTCTCTCATCTTTTTAATTTCAGTGCTATCATAGTGCCAGGCATCTAAAATACATTAAACACACATTAGAACTGAATGAATAAGTACATGGATGAATAGATAAAGGCTGAGCATCCTTAAAAAATATTTCAGATCTTCATGTAGTCATTAAGAGCAACAGTTCATTGAACATAAAATACAAAATGATATAGACATCTGGATCAAATACAGATGATCTTGCAACCTATCTAATACTTAGTAAAAGCTTTGTTGTTTGAGTTTTTTAGTAAAATAATCTTTCAACAATTGAATTTTATGTATTTTCAGAGATCATCTATAGCTGGGTATTTAACGAGTTCCCTTCCTTTGTGGCGGAAGACAGCCGGCGGTTCATTTCCCAGGAGACAGGCAACCTCTATATTTCTAAAGTCCAAACATCAGATGTTGGCAGCTATATTTGTCTGGTGAAAAACACAGTGACGAACGCTCGAGTACTTAGTCCTCCAACACCACTCACTCTCCGTAATGATGGTAAGTTCCATGGACTGGATTGAAATGGTCAGCCAACTCAAATGTGAAAAATTGAGTATAATCTGGAAAAATACTGAATCACTATGCTGTGCATCTGAAACTCATACTATATTGTAAATCAACTGTACTTCAATACAAAAAGACCTAAAAAAAAGATGTATTAGTGTTCTTCTAAGCACTTAAACCTAGCACAAATAAAATAAAAAGGCATTTGGCATATTTAGAAACTCTACACTTTTAGTCTAAGATCATGCATACCTTAGAATAAAATTTTTCACATAGGAAAGTGATAATCTATAGCTAAGAAATATTAACCTTAACACTACCCTAATGCCAAAAAGGGAGAGGGATTCCAAAAAGATGAACTGTAATAAAGACTCCACAGTTCTTTTTTTGCTCTTTAGGGCCTCTATATAGCATATGTGTATGAATTGCAAGTATTTTACAGGTTCATTTTTCATCACTTTTTAATTTTAGATACCTTCAAATTGAATATTCAGCTTTTAATACTTCATGGCATAGTTATAATTGTTATTATTACTTTCCAATAATAGGAGCAGTTGGAACTTTAACTTTTAAGTGCAATTCAGGTAGAAATGATGATTCTATAAGTATAGGTATTGCCATCTATCCAAAGTGTCTTCAAATTTAAAAACTCGATTTGTAGTTATAGACATTTACAGTTAAGCATTGCATTAAAGAAGTCAAGTACTATATTAGAGTTGATATATGATATATGGCTTGCTCTGTCATGCAATAAAAAAGCTATGAAGGTATTATTGAGAAGTGAGCTCGAGAATCCTGATGGATTGTGAAGCTTAAAAAATAATCTATTTCAACACTAGTCTTTTATATGCTTAGTTTTAGAATATATACTGCAGTAATGTATAGCCAGAGTTTATATATATATATATATATATATATATATATATATATATATATATATATATATATATATATATAACATTAGTAATAATCCTATAATCCTATCAGGTAGAGAGTACAAATGCAATATCTATTTCAGAGATGAGGAAGCCAATTTGAAAGAGATGAAGGGACCTCCAAATGTCACACTGCTAGGTAATGGCATGGAGGAATAGATGGGAAACAGGGATGAAAAATGGGAAACCAATTTAGAGGCTACTGAAACTAACCAGTCAAGAGGTGAGGAGGTGAGGAGAGACAGAATGAAAGCAGTGGTAATAGCACTGAAGGGTCGAAAACATGCCTAGGATATTAAGAAGGTAGAATTATCAGAATGTGATGATTAAAATGTGATGAGGCTCTGGAGTAGGAGAAAGCTTTCACATAGTTCAACGAATGGATGATGATTCTTTTCATGAAAAGAGATAAGACAGATGAAAAAATAGATTGAGAAATTGATGAATGTGATAAATTCAGTTTTGGCTATGTTGAGATAAGATATCCATGGGAAATCTACGTGGAAATATGCAGTAGGCTACTGATACATATTCCTAATATGCACAAGAGAGGACTGGGCTAGAGAAAGAGATTTAAGTGTTATCATTGTGTATCCATCAATACAGTTAAAGCTATGATTGTGTGTATATTATGCCAACTTCAAGATTATATAAGAATGTCTATAGGGTGAAAAGAATAAAGGAAAATAGATATGCATTTAGAAAACTTACCTAGTTAATAGTTTAGAATTGAGGTGATTTTCTATAAGCCATTTTCATAAAGTTTCTGAGTATTTTCTCATTAATTACGCAATAATTTGAAGCATCTTTGTTGGAAAATTGTAACATTTTGCTGACTAGTTCCATTTACACCATCCATTTATGTAATAATACCATACATTCAGATAGTGCCTGAGGTTGAGTAGGCTATTCTGCCTTCTTTTCATGCACCAAAACTAAACATTACATTGAGCTTCACAAGGGAGAGGAACACATGTAAAGTAAGAATACAAAAATTGACACCATCTTCACCAGTGATTTAAAAGCTCAGGACCCATGTTCAACAGTCTCTTGCACTTCTTTGATTTCATGGCCCAAATGTATCACTTAACTTTACCTTATACCTTCCATAGTCAAACATTTCAAGAATAATTAGAGTAATTTGTTTGCTGCTATTTAAACTCCTTTGCCCTTCTGATTCTATTGCTCTTCCTGGGCAAAACCCCACTCCCAATGAACTCACTATACCCTTAATTTGTGACTGCCTTGGAATCTGAAAGCTGCTAGAGAGTTACACCTGCCAGGGATTCATGATCAACAACTTCAGTACTGCCACTCAATCCTAGTAAGTTTCTGTGGATGGTTAATTTGTAACTGTCCTAAAGATTTTTGGAATCTTCTCTGCATTTCTCAAACTGGACAGCCTCCCTCCTTCCCCACTGCTTTACAAAACCTATTTAAGTATCAAATTTACTTTCCTACTAATGGAATTTCAAATCTAACTATTGATACATCTTCATCCATACTGTTCTTCCCTTATGTAATTTCAGTAGAGATACTCTACTGTCTCTCCTACTATTAAAACCAATCCCTCCATCCTTGACTGCTGATTTTCATTCCCACTGGCCTTTTCAGAACATCACACTGTTAGCCATTGTTTCTTATGTAACCAATACTGTGTCACTAAACTAATAAATATTTTTAGTCATGTTAATTGAATTTACTGAAGCAGTTGAAACCGTTGACTTATTTTTATTTTACAAACATCTATATTTCCAAAAAATCATTATTTGTGCAGTACTATATGAAAGGTTCAATAAAGCAATGCACACAAGTAAAATAAAACTGTTATTTTAAAGTTAACATTTAAGTTAAAAAGAAACAGGTGGAAAACACCTGCTAAATTTCAATTACATCATTCAATGACAGTCTTATTTAAGATTTTGTGAGAGAAGTTAGAAAATTCATATTTCTTCTTTCTGTAAATTATCTGAGATTATTTTTTCTTGGTGATTGTCTACTAATTTTTACTTTTTATCATAGTAATACACACTTATCAAAGGAATATAGTGGTTTATAAGTGCTGATAAGAAGGGGAAAGAAAAAGCAAACCCACACACCTCCCTTCCATCCAATCCTACTCCCTAAAGCTAACTTTTTAATTTCTCCTATTTTTCTTCATGAGTTTCTCATATAATGCTAGGAAATATCTGTGCTTCTTGTTTAATCAAGTTTAGACAATAACTCATATGATGTACATCTGCTTCTTCTATCCTCCCCTCTTTTATAGTTAAACAATATTTTTCTGTTGTTTCCTTTTTAACCTTGACAATGTGCTTACATCTCTATTATCCTTTTAACTCTTGAAAATAATTCTTGACTTTCTATTATATAAAGTGATAGTTTTAGTCCTACTTTTTCCTTTACCTTTCCTGTACTACTTTTATGTCCTTTTGTCTTCCACATTTACTCTGACATTCTCTCCTGCAAATGCAACCAAGTGTTCTAAACTTTCCCATAGACTAACTGTAAAAGCTTAAAACAAATAGATGTTAACAAGTTATTACTATATAATTATCTTTCAATACATATTGTTACAGATTTTTAAGCTATTTGTAGATATGTGTGCTCTACTAGACATGCTTTTCATAAGTGAAACTTTGAATATAACAAGAAAATAATATTGTGATATAGTTTGGATGTAATTTCTCTTAAAATTTTGCTCTATAAATACAATTCATCATTTCAATAATAGTGTTGAAATATGAACATGAGTCATCACAATGCAAATGATAAATTAAACCATTATTGTGGTTAAGAAAGCCCACAAAATGCATATGAAAGAGAAGTGAGCTTAGGAACAAGCCTTGAGTAGTCCAAATCGCTTTGGAAAGGTTAAAAATGAAAACCCTACAAAGGATAATGAGAAGGAAAAGTCAGAGAGATAATAGGAAAAACAATAGTGTAGTATCAAGGAAGCCAAGAAAAATGAGTGTTTCAACAAGGAGAAGTGGGCATGCAGCTCAAGATGGTGGACTGGGTGCCTGTATTTGTCTCCTGTCTCCCTTCTGAGACCCTGTAAGAAGAAATTCATGTCATCAATGAGTAGAGGAAGCATTTCATTAACAAATGAGACACTTTGATATATTTCTGGAAGAATAAGGAAGGACGTGAGTTTAAGGATTAAACAGGCAGAGTAACTAAAACCTAGAATAAAGTTTAAGGGATCTAAGGAAAGGGCTAAAAACCATGTGCCCAGTGGAAGCCTGAAAAAGCTCTGAAATCACAGTTAGCTAAGGGTGAGCATAAGAAATGGGGCCAAAGGGGGACTGAAAGTATATATGCTGAACATCTGTTTCAGTGAAATATTGGAATCCGTTCTCTTCCCTGTCCTTATGTGCAAAAAGACCAAAGGCTCTTAACAACTCTTTTAACAACATGAGTGAACTTTCCCTGGAAAGCTAAAGTTCTTAATGTGAATAGTGGCACAGAATGCAAAACCTTCTCATTCTGGCACATGAGTGTCCGCAGCCTGACAGCCAGTTCCTTGCCCTCACATCAAAGCAGAGCTGACTGTCGACCCACCTCTCCCAGCCACCCGCACCCTCACCTCAAAAGGAAACCAATTCTACAGAACTGGGAAACACACAGCAATGTCCAAGCTTCTCAGACTTAACGTTTATATGCAATGCTAAATTAGTAGTTTCTATTAAAAATTACTGAGCTTACTGAATGGTTATAGAATTCATATCAGGATAATATGCAAAAAGCAGAAAAATTTAAATTATTCTAGGAAGGCATCAATTAGACTAGAATTGTTCTTAATTCAAAAAACGTCTATATTACTATTTGATCTCTCTTCAAAAAAAAAAAAAAATTGAAGACTATGTTTATAGGAAGGACATATTCTTGAATGCTTTCCCAAGTAGGTGGCTTATGTTAAACACTTAGTCTGAAAATAAAAATAGAATATGATTGTGGATGATTCCAGTATTTGCATCACAGTCAGCTACAATTCCTGCTGGGTTTTACAAACCTCTCATTGCAGAGACAGGCATTATAATGGTTATTCCTTCAAAC